GTCGAAAACCCCATACACAATCATATTGATGGTAACCGTTAAAGCCTTCCCAAAACGTATTTCTGCTCTCAGGTTCCCGGTTTTAATCAGGGAATAGTGATCAGCGCATTCCTGGTCGGGAGACAGGTCAAAGGCAAACAAGATGTAACCCTGTGCAAACTCCTCATGGTCGATTAACAGAGAACGATCTTTCATGTGTTTACCAGCTACTTGTACCAAATTCATGTATTCTCTCACGCAGCGTCCTGCCTCGAAGTCCGGTTGCAGAGGCTTGGTCGGTATCTGTTCACCATCCACATACAAGGCCACAAAATTAATATCATAATGTTTAAAATGAAAGGGATTTTTAGCGTAACTTCCGCTAAAGGCATCGTTATCCACAAACCCTAGGACAAGCATTTTGGGTAACTGTCCCAAGAACAGGTTCTCCTGGTTACTGACCCTGCTGCCCGCGGGGATGCTAAATACTTTCATTCCAACACGGTCCACGGAGTATTTAGCATTAGCGGTAAGCAGGGCCTCCGCGTGCCCCAGACGGACTCCCGGGGCCACCCGTACTTTCTTCACAAAAAGGGACACTGATACAATGCGCAGTTTAAAGCCTTCAGCCACACTGCCCATTAAACAGAAAGCGTCTTTACTGCGCGTCAGTTTAATTTTCACATCCACGCCGTTTAACAAAAGTTTTTCTTGAAAAAACAGGTAAATGACCCAGCAGTTCTACCGTTCTGCTCTCGGCCGTCAGCTTTGCACACCTCACAAACCCTAGGTTCCCTCCATCCAACTCTGTTTCTTCATGTTGTCCAGCAGTGTCTTTGTAAAACAGGCCAGTGGAAAATTGCGTGGCGAGGGTGTCGTCGCTGTAATTGAGCACCGATTCTATAAAGGCCCTGTAAGGGTAGCAGTTGTTGCTTTGGCTTATGAGGCGGTCTCCCAGCATGACATCCAACTGACTGAAAATAGAGGCCATGGGGTAATTCACCAGACCCACTTCAGCATCCACGGCGAGTTCAGTTCCGTCTCCTTTTACAACCTTGCAACACAGGTACAGCAGCATGTTATTTAAATCCATATAATCTATGCTATTCCATGCTATAAAAAAGTCAATGGGAGTAGACTCTGTAATGGCCGATAGAGGCGGCACCTCGAAGTAGATGCTTTTCTCAATGCTGGACTGCGTAGGAGCTATTTGAAACAAGTCTAGTTCGGATTTGGTGCACTCTTCAGACCCGCAGTGAACAAAAGCCATGTTGATTAAAATATGTCTCTTTTACCAGGCAGAGCGCGTCTCCTCTTTCGCCCAGGCTTCCTCTTGGACTTTCGCTTATGGCCAGCCCTGCGTGTCAAAGCCCTTCTTTTAAAGGGTTTCAGGGGACCTGTGCGTTGCGGGTATGACGTATTTCTCTTTCTCTTCCTCCTTTTAATGTATATAAACCCCGATCCTTCCTGTGAAGCTGTATTCCCCACCTTCTCCAGAACAGCACAGGAGACATGACCTACCACATCTTTAGCTATGTTTTGAGCGGCTGTTTTTACGTGGGGTTTAATAGTCTCTAGCCCCCTCCTCAAAAGCGGTATGGCTTTTCGAAAGAGGCTACGAAATATTCCACCCACACCCGCCCCGTACATCACGGGGGTCCCATGATATCCAAGAAGGGAGTATCCAGCCTGGGCTTTGTAATAGTTCCTGTAGATGGTGGGGTCGCCATAATTTTTTGGGATCGCCATAATAGGGTTTTGCTTTTTTAGAAACCTCGCTCTCTCCGCGGCCGCAGATGCAGCTTGACGATCACCTTGCCAAAGCGAAATGAGACATGTCTGTTCTGATCTGTCTTTATTTCAATGGTGATGGTGTCGATGTGGTGTTTACGGACAGGGACGTAATGAGGTTTGTCATAGGTGATGGTAACAAACTTGTTGTTCCTTCCTCGGACAGGGACGCAGCGTAACGGGGAACAGAAAAGTCCCCCACAAACTGGTGTTCTATGATATCCGTGTATACATACAAGGAGTTAAAACCTCCTGTGATGTCTGCCGAGAAGGGGAATTTTTGGACGTTGCATTTGTGGCCCAAACCCAGAATGTTAGCTAGCTCCCCGCCAGTAGAAAACACGTACATAAAATTGGTAGATTTAAGTCTCACTTTTCTACCCACAGGGTCGTAGTTCATGACCACCTCAGGCGGTCTGGGATGACGAGCCACTTTGCTGTTCATATGCTCCAGTAATTCGGGTATGGTCGAGTAATAACCTCGTCGTAGGATGAAATTCCACGTTGTAGCTCCAAAGGTGATTTTGAAAGGGGTGTCTTCGTTGATACAATACCCGCACAGCTGGAATACTATTTCCACTAACCCCACCTCCCAGGCACCCGGGAGATTCAAGGGCTTAATTAGCCGTATTGTAAAGTTCGAGATGGTGTTTTGGGGAAAAACTGCAGAGCTGGCATTGCTGGGCAAAGTAATGTAAAACCCGCCGTCACTCATTTTTCTTTCTCTCTCTCTCTCTCTCTCTGTCCTTGCAGAAGGAATCTTTTTTTGTTTTGTTTTGTTTGTTCGAG